AGCATGTTATTGTTTTGCAGCTGAATTTAAGATGTTGCACAATAAGCACAATGCATTGCTTTATCGAGATAATTGCAAACAAGGCAGTGTTAAGCAGGTGTGTTCATCATATTCACTACAATCATTTAGCCTGTAAGCATGCTGAAAAGAACCACTTAACACAAAATACAGCTGAGGCTTATGGGAATATTTGTTAGGGAATACAATGTGTTGGACAAAGGGAAACTTTTACCAAAAATACTTGATTAGAAATCTGACACGAAAACACAAATGTGACCCTCACAGGGCACTGGAAGAACAAGTGAGCAGGATTCATCCTTCTGTTTCAATGATCAAAATTCAATCCATCACGCAGATTTTTCTATCCGGACCGACTGTAAGATGTAGATTGAACAGCATTGCCATCCCAAGAGCCACACCACTAACATGGTTATAAATGAAGGTGACAAAATGTTTATTTAGATAGATATAGCTCTATAAAGTGAGTTGAAACTGTGAAAGTGCCTTTAAACCAGAGGCCACACACACACACCTGAGGACATAGGTGACACAGAGGATGCACAGTGGCTGGTTGGTGCCTGGCCTGAACTTGGAGGAGCGAGCGTTGGGGATGACGGCACTGTGACTCTCCACCCAGACATAACCTCCACCTCTCACCAGCATCCTGTACCGACCGCTGACCGACTGGCTCTTAAAACACACTGCAGAGAGAGAGAGAGAGAGAGAGAGAGAGAGAGAGAGAGAGAGAGAGAGAGGGAGGTGAAATCAGGTATTTACAAGGGTCTAATGTGTGTGTGCATCTCTACTTACAGTTGAAATGATTTTTGGTCAAACAGTTTGTGTCCCGTGTGTGGCAGAGATCATAGATGGAGCGGCCAAGCAGCTCCTCAGTGCTGTAACCTAGAAGCATAGTCATTCTGCAAACACATGAAGAAGTAACACAGTGAATTTGTTTTACAAATATTCTGCCTGATAAGCTCATCTTTAAAATGTACTTTGTATTCAGCAGCAGCCACAGATAGGATTAAGGCTCACTGATATTATGCAATTGTAGGTCTAAAATAACAAAAAGGAGAAGGTAAAAGGAGAAGTCATATTTCTCTTAATTTCTATTGTCACGCTAAATTAACCCCTTAAAATCAAGATTCCATATACAGTATATGTATATTCTGTATCAGTTTGTTTCGGATCTTCAAGAAAGCTTTATGACTATAAAACATTTAGAAATATTAAATCTCAATCCATCGAATGGAAATATTCTACTTGTCTTGTATTTCCCCCAAAATTCTATTATGCTTGTTGGGGTTTTCCTTTTCCTGTAGTGTGTCATATAGGTTATTGTGCATTTAAATGTTCTGCAAAGGCTCAAATACCAAGGTTCACCCCAGATTGGTGATAATTTTACAACCTACATTTCAAAATACAATCTAAATTCTTCCTTCCTTACAAATAAAAGTCAAATTGATTCCGCGTTTTAAACACATTTTTACACCACTGTGGTAAAGTAGAACATGAGCAGGGTAACACTACATCTAAGTGGTTACGTACTAAGAGGTACAAACACGTACAAGACAGTAGGTAGCTGCATAAAAGCTGCATATTTAAATAATTGTGTGTATGTATTTGTGTAAATCACCTCTGGTCACAGTATGTGAACCTCATGTCCATGCTGTGCTGGCTGGTGAAGGTCTGTGTGCTGAGGAGTGTGTGTGAGAGGGGCAGAGACTGGCAGGTCAGCAGAAGGCAGGAAACTGAAGACGGGGCGACACACACCTTGGATCGGCCCTGACAGTGGAGAACCTAAGCAAACAGAGAGAGAGGGATTTAAACTCAGACAAAAAAAGAGATGAGAAACTGTGTGGTGCTTCAGGTTTTTGTGTGGTATTGTTTTCTCACTAACCTTCCACGTAGCTGACTTGAGGTTGGCGCTTCTTCCTCTGTGTGTCAGAGCGCTTTTTATCCTCATGACAAAGTCCCTCTTTTCACCGCTCCAAACTTCCTCTTAAAAACAAGCAATTCAAAAAGTTGAAGAGACAAACCTGCTTAAATATGTATGTTCACCTTAAAAAAAAAACATACTGTACAACCAAAACTGAACATCAATTCTTGTCACATTCTCAACACACACCTGCTGTTACACGTAGATTATTTCTGAGTTCTTCGTGGTCACAGGGGTGGGAAAACTCAAATATATTGTGTCCCATCAGCTCAGCCTATCAGAAGATTTAAAGTACATATTTAAATGCAAATCCTGCATCCTAAATGTATAACATTACTTATTACTATCTTGTGTAGAAATGTGTGTGGGTGTGTCTACCTGTGTCAAGCCCATGTACTTGCTGACGTTCTCAGACAGGTAGATCATGTCTCCCTCTGTGGACAAGACCATCAGAAATCCCTCCAGGATCCTCAGGTACATGTTTGTCTCTTCCGAGGCGTCTGCATCATACCTTTCTTTTTCCTCTTCCTCGCCACATCCTCCGTTGAACTCATGCCGAACCATTTGATCATCTGTCACCTGTCCACATTTTACTTTGTGACTGGCCTCTGCTTTGGTCCCTGTCTTCCCTGAAACAGCGAGAGAAAGGAAGGGTTTTGAATTATAGTGCGGTCTGATTTATTTATGAATTTTTGTCAATGAGTCCCTTTTTTGAAAAATTACCTCAATATACATGTTTAGTGCGTGCAACATTCATTGGAGCTACGAACAAATTATGTGGCATATTGTGTGTGTGTGTGTGTGTGTGTGTGTGTGTGTGTGTGTGTGTGTGTGTGTGTGTGTGTGTGTGTGTGTGTGTGTGTGTGTGTGTGTGTGTGTGTGTGTGTGTGTGTGTGTGTGTGTGTGTGTGTTATGCTGAGGACTTCCTCAGTCTAACAGCTCAAACCCGCCAGTCTGTGACCACAGGTTATCACAAGTGTTTTTTTTCCACAGCAGAACATATTGTTACATTTCAATTATAAATCAGAATACTTACTAGAGGTGCACACAATTTCACCATTACAATGTAATACATATAAAGGATCTGTACAAGTTCCCAAATGTTCTGCAAACCTGAAGGAGCTTATCAAATATTGATTTGGGATTTTAATGTGACTCTTCATGGATTGATCCCCCCTTGGTTTTATTTTGTTTCAAAACTTACTTCATTTCTGTATTTAAAGTAAAAAAAGGTTTTTGGTTGGGATTATATATTTTTTAATAATATGCATCTTTAAATTAGTAATGGGAATATATTTTTTCAAAAATAATTAAGATGAAGTGATCTATGACGATTGATTTTAAGGAACTGAACTGTGAGGCTGAAAGTAGGCTATATGCCCTCTCTATTATATATAACCTTTTATCTTAATAATGCGAAAATATACAGCAGTAGCCTATTTATTTAGCTTAAGTATAAACTGATAATAAATAAATGCGTAAATATATATTCTTGCTAGCTTTTGTATGATTTAGAAACCCGTCTGGTTATGACCTGTCTTAGATGTTTACGCCTTTATTGTAAAATCTTCAACACGTGTAATGCGTGTGTGTGAGGCCCGTTGGTACCTGTGAGCAGTGTGTGCATGCGGATGTAGCTGAGAGTGAGGCGGATCACTGAGGGCTTGTCAAGGTGATCTCGGACAGACTGTTGGAGCGGCAGGAGGCGAGACAAATCTTCAAACACCTCAGATTCCACCCGTCGCCTCCGTCTGGCCGCCTCCCGGCTGATCGCCCTGCAGAGGACAGAGGGCGGGAACAAACTCTCAAAACTAAAGTCGTGTTGATAAAACTCACTGCATTATAACATAGAGGAACTGTTAAAAAAAAATTGTAATTATAGAGTACAACAGAAATGTCTTCTTTGTTTGTGTTTTGTTACAGCTATTTGTATGAATACATAGATGTTTATACTTTCAATGAGTCTAAGTTAGAATTGCCAAGCAAAGTGCATTTACTGCAACACTCTATGAGGGACTTGGTTTTTTACTTTATAGGCTACTACATTTCAAAAAGTACTTTCATTTACTTTTTACTAAAGTTTGGTTTACCACGAAATGCAATTTTGCAGATTCAGATTATAACTTCAGCATGATCTAAACTGATACAACTTCTCAGTAACATTATCGCATGAGACTGTAGAGAATTTCTCCACATAAATGGAAACATTCAACGAAGATGACGCTTGAGACTTCAAAATAAAAAATGTTTGGTTTCCAGAAGCATAATTACTTTGACGTTTTATAGATTAGGTTTTTACAGCTAAAGTGAAGCTTTTTTTCAAAGTTTTACTTCATAGTTGTACTGCATGAGTTTTACATGTATTTTTCCAATGTGCTGTTGTTACTTTTCTTTAAAGGAGGTGAATAGTTCCTCTGATGAACAGAGAGGGAAGTTCAGCAGTGCATTGTGGTCATGATTCAGATGCCCCCGTGGCCACACCGTCTTTGGGCTGACCTCATCACCGACATAACTTGCACAAAATAATTAAACTAAAGCAAAATAAATAAATAGGAATGTTTTTCAAAAGCATTTCAGAACATACTGTAAAGATGCAACACTGACCTTCTCTTCTCCTTGTCGGCTGTCATCATGTCCAACAGGCGTCTCTATCCGGGGCCATGGTGGCTCAGCGAGATGGAGGCTGTAGGAGTTCACAGCACAGCAGGGAATCTCCTCGCTACAACTTTACACCATCACAGGTAGTCTAATTACTCAGAAAGGCAATTAGTGTTGCCAAATGTCACGAGGCAAGTGATCCCCGCAGCACAGATGACTTCAGCAGCGAGTGCCTCCTCTCCCCTCAGCATGTGCATCACCTACAGGAACCCCCAAAGGCGAGCATGATGATAGGTCAGCTGGCCAGGAAAAGCATCAGCCTCCCCTCCCTCTCTCAACTCCCCCCTCCCCTTTCTTCTGCTCTCACACAAACGTTGAAGCATCCCACACAGAACAGATCTGCCTCTAGCATGCAGAGAAATCCATTTTTGAAAAACGAGGAAGGAAAGACGACACGGTGGAGTGATGTAGACAGCTCAGTGTTTTTATTGGAATCAGACCAGACAGGACTAGCCTGGCTGTTGCACTACATTTTGGCACAGAGTAAGATAGTGTGACCAGGAACAGCCCTACCCCTGGGTGCACGAAGCTTCACTACACACCGACTCTACTGCACACAGAGCCATCAGCTGGCCTTCAGATCACTGTACAGTACGCGCGACAACAGTCCTCCTCTGTGTGTGCATGTGTGTTTGTAAGAAAGAGTGAGAAGAAGAAGAAGAAGAAGAAAGATCAGGCGAAGGAGAGAGTCTGTATGTGGTGCTTTTGTCTATGTGTGTGATTGAAATGAGAGGTAATTCAGCTGCTGGTTTTCCACATTTCTTTTCGCCCGGCTGTAACAGACCTATGATAGTATAGTTATAGTATTATAGACAAATATTTCCTCCAGTTACACTTTACAATAATATTAATAATAATAATTACTATAATAAAAAAGAAAGATAGCAATAAGAACGAAAAGCCATTCTGGAAAATTAAAACGTCAGAGTGGTTTTGGCTGAGTGAGATGGCTGATGGAGGCAGGAAAGGGAAACTGGTGCTTTGGAGGAGATGGGAAGGAAGGGGAGGGGGAGCTGAAAACACTGATGGTAACTATAGAAACAGAAATGTTGAGGACGAAAAGTCACACACCAACAAGGAGCAAGAAAAAAAAAATCACGCATTCACACGTACGAAAATGTACATTCACGACAAAGAAAAAAGAAAACGCCCACGGGCAGACACGCACTCTGAGTAGCAGATGGATGACAGAGCTGGAAATCGGGCTTTACGCTGCTACACAGGCCGCCTGTAACACTCTGCTCCACATAATTAGTTGAATAGCCTGTAACTTGTAAGCTCGACATTCACTTTATACACACGAGACAGGAGGATGATGAGCGCAACAGTTCAATCATACTGCACATTTTGAGGAGAAAAAAAAGACAAAAATATCACAACAAATAAAATATATTGATAGTCAGGGTATTGCACAAGGGTATTTGGCCCTAACTGGTCCATGATAAGGACAGTATTAACACAGGTAGGGTACTTGTCCATGCGCCACGACTCTCTTTTACTAGCAGACGATACCAACACAATACAGCCACTCAACACAGGCTATATACAGGCCTCTGCCCAGCACCCACTGCACAGTCCTGGTGCCGGGGAGAGAAGCAGTGTCAGAGTGTGTGTGTGTGCGCGTGTGTCTGCGTGTGTGTTTGTTTGGGTTGTCTGAGCATGTACAGTGAGCGTGTTAGAGTAAAGTTCAAGATTGTAGTGTTGGTTTATCTGTAAATCAGTATTTAAAGTGTGTGTGAGAGCATGTGCGGATGTGTATATTCATAGTCATATTTATATTCATAATAAACCCAGGCAACAAGTACAACACAATGCAAGTAAAGAATATTCCAAAAAGTAACAACAACCAATAGCTTCAAAGTAAAGGACTGTGTGTGTGTGTGTGTGTGTGTGTGTGTGTGTGTGTGTGTGTGTGTGTGTGTGTGTGTGTGTGTGTGTGTGTGTGTGTGTGTGTTTTGTAAAGGGATTTATGGTTCTACACATGTATAAGTGTCAGCAAAGTGTGCATACGTGCGTGTAGGATTTTGTTTTCTTGGATCAGTGTGTGTGTGAGTGTATGTGTGTGTGTGTGTGTGTGTGTGTGTGTGTGTGTGTGTGTGTGTGTGTGTGTGTGTGTGTGTGTGTGTGTGTGTGTGTGTGTGTGTGTGTGTGTGTGTGTGTGTGTGTGCGCGTTAGGTCTGCGCCTCTTCGGGGGCGCAGTAGGAGAAGTCTTTGAACTCCTCCTGGTTGATCTGTCTGATGATGGCCTCGTCCGTGGGCGTCAACACGGGGTCTTCCTTGGTGAAGTCCTGGTCAAAGTTATTCACATCTCGCTTTGTCTTCTGCAGAGGCGCACGCACACGCACACACACACACACACACACACACACACACACACACACACACACACACACACACACACACACACACACACACACACACACACAGAGAGAAGGACGTCAGAGAAAGAAGCGTCACCAAGCTTTTTGTGTTTAAAAGTTACATTAGAGCGACACCTTCTGACGACTTTCACTCATTACCTTTGTGTGAAGACATTGTTACAGTACATGTGTGGCACTACTACAAAACAGGAGATAAATCTATGAGAGGATTAAAACCCCAGTTTAACCCTACTCATTTATGGTTATCCTATATGAGGCCTTTCAGTGTTATATTAGGCTTATCTGCCTTTGAGTTTGTCTTTTTCTGCCTGAAAATCAGCTTTCAACTATCAATTTGCAGCAGGCCGTAAGAGACCCTCGATATATGAGGTTATGTATGTAGACTAAACTCTGTTAAACTCTGTTTAAGGGGTGGAAATAAAAGATATAAGGTTCTTTATCTTGATCTTTTATTCAGTATTTCTCTCATCCCAGCTAACTGGGAGAGCGCATTTGCTAATGTGACACTTATTTATTAAAATAAAACTCTGAAATGACCAGCTTGCTTTTTGTGAGTGTATCATTAAAGGGCCAATACAATGACCAACAGGATGGGAATGTATTTTTACTGCATAACAGATTGTAGTTATTTATTTTTATTAATTTTCTTTCTTAGTTCCTCATACATCAATATTTTGACTGGAGATATTTCCATAGCCGCGCCAACAAGACAACGTGATACCATAACAACAAAACTTTCTTTGATACTTTCCTGGAAGGATTTCTATGTAAAATAAGACAAGCTATTTGAATGCAACAGAGTTGAACTTTTTCCTTACACAAAACAGCCCTATATTCAATTAAATAAAATCAAATATAAAAGACAATAAGTGTGATTTGAGGACAGGATACATACGCAGTGGCTTATTTGCATTTCCTGTCTTTTGAGGACATTTTGTGAGATGTTCTCACCGTGTTTTACGGCAAGCTGCGTGTTCAGGCAGCAGGACACACAATACTTTTTGATGTGTAGAGAATAGAATCTTTACATTCTGCATTTTCCAAAGATATTTAAATCTTGGAGTTATTTTTTTAGTTAGAATCAGAAAGAAATCTAAATGATTGCCTTACATTTACAATACATGCATCCATATGTACATGGAAACCAATAGATTGTCAGAGTTGTATTAGATTTAAAGTTAATAAAACAGTGTGTGTGTGTGTGTGTGTGTGTGCGTGCGTGCGTGCGTGCGCGTGTGTGTGTGTGTGTGTGCACATGTTACTTACAATTCGGGGTTTAAAGGGTGGTTTGACCTTCCTCTGCTCCAGCAGCACCCAGTCGATCTCTCTGAAGAAGGCGTGGGTTTTGATGGCCTCCTCGCAGCCCTGCGTCACCACACAGCCCAGACGCTTGGCCGGGTTCTTAGTCATGAACTAAAAACAAACAAACAAACACAATGCACACTTTTGATTTCCAAATATCTCTTCTGAAAAAACCAACCCTGCTTGAGCCGTGGTTTCATGCATAAAATGATGAGGGCAGAAGCAGAACGATGAGGTTGAGCAAAAAGCATTTCAGTGCTAATAATAGAGCTGAGGCATTAATGGCTCCGTGGCACAAACAGAGATGAAACAGGTCAGCAGAGTGCTGGTGTTATTTATTTACTGTGACTGAGAGCTGTGTCTGTTTTGTTCTGTAGTCTGTTCAGTATTGTAAGAGCACTTCAGGATCTATGATTTTATGATCACATTGTTACTACCTTCACCTCTTTGACTGACTTTTTTATTCTCCTCTGTATCAGAGCACAGAGGATCGTAACACCTCTGTGTTGAGTGCATTTTGAATGAGTCTGATTTGAGCGTGTAGGATAGAAATATGAATATGAAAAAGGACAATACAAAACATCTAGCCTTTGAAAGTGTGTCAAATCAAAAAATACATAACCTAGCCCTAGTAAGCACCTTCTATGTGTTAGCATTAAATTCAGGTCAATATATTTTACTCAAAAATATTGGAGCATCTGATTTTCAGAAGGAAAGAAACATTTGGTATGTACGGTAGAATAACACCTAAAAAACACTTTTAAACACCTGGATGAAAACATATTTTGAATTGGTCATTTTTTCTAGACAAAGATACCTGGAATGACAAAATGCTTTGATTCATTTGAACCAAATATTTATATATTTATATAAATATATGTTTATTTATTTTGTGTGCTATATAAAAAGGGCATATACATTTTTTTATTTACAATACGTTTTTTTAAATCTAGAACTATAGACGAGTCCTTTATGATTCCCGAAAATATTTAAAAAGAGATCAAATTATTGTCGAAAGACCTTCTCGGAATGAAAAAGAAATCCCGAAATTTGTTTTTTGGCTAACTTAAGCTCTTCTACTCAGATTGAATGGTTGTATTTGAGAGTAAAAAAGTGACAGTTCATTAACCCAATATGTCCAAAAACTGCCACTTTGTATTCATGCTGTCTTGGTATTGAAAAGTCTTAAAAGTAATGGGATTAGAAACAAGTTCCAAACAGGGCATTTCCCTACAGTAGATAATCTGATTGGGAAAATGTACTGATTTAAATTATTTAAAATGTGCCTTCGAGGTCCTATGCACTCTTGGAGGTAATTGAATTGGCCTTTAACTAAAAACTTTAATCCTGTAAAGAAAAAGTTAGAAGTGGTGTGTCACGGCGAAAAGACTCTTACCGCTCTGAGGATAGAAACTGCTTCTTTGCTGAGCCACACGGGGTAGAGGACGTCATCATGGAGAATCGACTCGAACAAGTCATCTTCATTATCAGCTTCAAACGGAGGCTGCCCGGCCATCATCTCGTACATCAGCACGCCCAGAGCCCACCAGTCCACCGAGGCTCCGTACTCCAGCTCCTGAAGGATCTGAGGCCAGCAACACGAGGGTCAACATGGAGGACAGCAAATACAAAATACTACAACGCAGATACTCTACAGACACTGGCTTTGCAACTGAATAACTTCTAATGTCACATTTTTTGTAGCTGAACTAGGTCATTTAAAGAAGGAAAACAACAAGAAGGACAAAATAAAACATAATGTATAGCTTCAATGGCAGAAAAAAGGAAGGAGCCACATCAGGTTGGTAAAATAACTACATTACACACGTTTGTACCGAAAGAGATGAAAAGTTACCAGTAAAACTATTTAAAGTAAAAATAAAACTGCAGTTATTTTGGCTCCAATTTGAGAAAAGAAAAGGCAGAAGGAAGGAATGATAAAATCAAGGAAAGGAAAGACAAAGTTATAGGAAATAGGAACAAAGTTAGAAAAAAAGGTCGCTTGAATCTCAAAAACATTGGCAGATTAATAGATAAGGAAATAACTCTGAGCTTCAGCTGTACCAGTGACATTAAACTGTGTAAATGTACTAAGACAACAGAAATATAACGTTCAGCGTCCTGTGAAAAGCTCAGCTCACCTCAGGGGCGATGTAGTCAGGCGTGCCACAGAAGGTTGTGGTGGTCACGCCGTTCTTGATGCCCTCCTTGCACATGCCGAAGTCTGCCAGCTTACAGTGTCCCTCTGCATCCAACAGGATGTTATCCAGCTTCAGATCCCTGGGAGAGGAAGACACAAAGAGAGAGAATGAGCACCATCTGGTTTATAACAGTTGGACTCTCAGGGAGAAGTGAGCAAGCAATGTGAGAAAAAAAACTTGAGAATCACCACGTAATGTAAGTGTGAACCATGTTGTCATGCCCCTTCTGGTATGCTCCTGAGAAGATAAGATATTCCTCAAAAATGTTTTATAGCCTTGAAATATTTGTAACTTTTCTGAACTTACCAATGAGGATTGAACTCTAACACCAGACCGAATGTGAATACTATGAAGAATCTATTAGTTATTTCAAGCTTCACAAAGACTTTAGATGTCTTGGGATGAAAAAGAGTAAGGTGGTGTTGGGGGTGTTTACCTGTAGATGACCCCGTTGCGGTGCAGGAACATGAGGGCTGAGGTGACTTCTGCGGCATAGAAACGAGAGCGAGGCTCATCGAACTTCCTGGATCGCTGAATCTGGAACATCAGGTCGCCTCCGTTCACATATTCCATAACAAAAAACAAACGGTCCTGCAGATAAAGACAAAGTATGAGACAGAGAAAACTATCAAACTGTCCCTTCTGTGTGTGTGTGTGTGTGTGTGTTGTGGTGTGGTGTGGTGTGTGTGTGTGTGCGTGTGTGTGTGTGTGTGTGTGTGTGTGTGAGAGAGAGAGAGAGAGAGNCTGCAGATAAAGACAAAGTATGAGACAGAGAAAACTATCAAACTGTCCCTTCTGTGTGTGTGTGTGTGTGTGTGTGTGTGTGTGCGCGTGCGTGCGTGCGTGCGTGCGTGTGTGTGTGTGTGTGTGTGCCGGGCGCTCCTACCCGTGTCTGGAAGCAGCAGTACAGCTGGGTGAGGTAGGGGTGTCGGCGGGCAAGTGCCAGGATGCGCTTCTCGGTCATGGTGCAGTCCACGTCATCGTCCTGCAGGATCACGTCTTTCTTCAAGACCTTGACAGCGAAAACTTCCTCTGTCCCCTTCAGCTCAGCCAGCATCACCTGGAAAATAAATAAATAAGGAGATGTCAAGTCAGGAGGTTCAGTTGAATCTGAACCGTTTCAAACTGATGATAGTTGGAAACGAAGGCGGCACGGTAAGACAAATTTGCCCTGAAAAACATCTGATAAAATGCTCCATTCAGTTTATGGAAAATAGGACATGAAGGATAAGAATAGGTGCTCTTGAAAGAGTCAAGTACTGATTGTGTTCAAGGACATCAAGGTGTAAATACAAAGATAGAAAATTGTTGACTATTTACACAACCAACAGACACAGAAACACATTAGCATGCATTTACAGCCATTTAGAGAACGGACATTCAATATCACTCTTTTTTTTTTTATTCGATTTTGGTGTCCACTTTAGCTACTTAATCTTCACCAGCTGTTAGCTAACCTTGTCTGTCAGCTGTTTGCTGCTAGTTTACGTTTTTTTGCTAAAAACAGTTGCGTTCTGCTAGAAAGAAGCACAATAAAAGTGGTTAGAGTGGACTAAAACAAACCAATGGGTGCTAAAACACAGAGGAACTGCAGAGTTGCGTTTAGTTGTTAATATAGAAATATTGATAAATGCAGTGTTATAAACTAAAGTTGTAAAGCTTTAAAAGGGTGGTTTGCTGTTTGGTTTGGTATGCAGTGAAATGTAACGTGTAAAGACATCTGCCTCCGTACAACATAATTGACATGTGCATTGTTCTATTCTGGTCCCTGATGCCTATTATGAATAATTATGAACAGGCGGTTAAAAAAACACTGTTTCAATTATGAACAAAATAAGCAGTAAACAAACAAACATCCCCCTCAAACGCCTTCTCCGTGTGGCCGCACCTTGCCGAAGCTGCCTTTGCCGAGAACCTTGATGAAGTTGAAGTCCTTGAGGGTCCTTCTCTGGATCTGTCCATTCTCCCTGCCTGCCGAGGAGGAGGATGAGGAGGAGGTGGTGGAGGAGGAGGAAGAGGAGGAGGAGGAGGAAGAAGTGTGTTGGGGTCCCTGCTGGTCGAGCGACAGCGCGTCCTGCAGGCGCACTAACTGTGCCAAGTCTGTGGGTGTCAACGGAAAAGCATATAATAAGACATCAGCGTAAAACAGGCTTAGTGTCTTTTCTACAGTCAGCCCGTTGTGCAATGTGTTTTTAAAGAGATGCTGCTTATTGTTCAAATCTAACATTTCATTATAATTAAGATGATTAGATTCATAATGATCAACCCTAACCCTATGTTGAAACCTCCTGGGATGAATCAGTTACAGTTAACCTGATCAGGGTGGTCAAACAGCAGAAGTGCGTTGTGTTTTTGTTCCTCAACATTAGGCTGCATTAAAGAAAATAAAAAATTGGAAATATTCCACAATAGACAAAGTAAACTTTTATTTCACGGTTTGCAAAGTGTGAGAGGACGATGACTAACTGTGACAAACAAATGGTTGTAGGCGGTGGGGCAACATTCTTTGATAATGTAAGTATATATTTACAAGGACAACACCACATTCTACCACTGAGTTCTTAAAGAGAGAATCAATATCATTTCTGAAATGGAAACACTACCTCTTACAGGTCAAATGAACACGTTAAAACCACATGCTGCTAAGAATGCATTCCAAAGAGCTTTGAAATGCCTGTTTACAACAAAGCTTTGTTTTTTTTGACTGAGTGTGTGTTGTGTTCAGCGTTACCCTGCTGTGAGGGGGAGGTGGGGACAGCTGTCTGGCTGAAGCTGTTGTCCTCAGTCTGGGAGAGCTCAGGAGGAGACTGGGGAGGGTCCTGCCCTGGAGTCAACTGGAGAGAGGGGAACACAACATCTTCAAATCCTTTACATGAGTCAGGGAGATCAATCTCAGCATCTCAGCTAAAGGGAGTTACTTTGCATCTCCAGAAAATACACTGAAGCAGGATAAAAAATGTTGTACAAAGCCATACATTTACGAAAAACAGTTTAAGTGATACATTAACAAGAAAAAACACATGATTGTACAAAAATAACTTAATCTCAGAGTTTCTAGTTACAGCTTTGCAGCTATATGCCTCCGCCAACCAGTCCGGTCACAGATTGCATCCATGTCTTTCCAAAATGTCATCACGTCATTTTATTGTATTTTACATTTTTGTTAAATTGTCATTATTAGCATAGAAATGCTTCAGTGATAATAGACAAAAATGTGTTTAGTGAAGTCCCAGTGACCTTAACATGAGACAACCGAAATATTAGTGAAGTCCCAGTGACCTTAACATGAGACAACCGAAATATAATCAGTTCATCCAAAATATTTTGGAATATGTTCTGCATTCCAAGAACATCAACGTTTCTGAGAAATCCCGTTTCATGGTAATGGAACGTACAAAATCATAATGGATAACAAATTAACACATAGATAATTGGAAATGTTGTGTTTTTGTTTTTCAAGGAAGCACGTTTCTCTATTTTGCAAGGTTGGATCAACCTTATCATGCCCTTATCAAATTATTATTTGAACTCATTTTTAGCAAAACAAATTGTGATTTTAGCCCGTAAATCCCTTATATAGCCGATGTTTTTTTTTTTAAATGTCCTTAATTCGCAGTTGTACACATGTGATTGCTATCTGTCATTACTGATTGCTTTTTAAATGAGACCCCAAATTTGTTGCCAAATCTGGGCAAGTACTAGGAGGGAAACAGGTTTTTATTTTTCAATATTTAACAAGGGATGAATGTACAATTTATTTAGAAATAAAAAATAACAAAATTATTGGTATGAACTGCAAAATATGTTTCAAATGTTGAAATAAAACCTGTAAATATCAATGGAAATATTTGTATTTGTGAGAATGACTTGTTACCTTCCTTCTGCGCAGTGCGGTGTTGGAGATCTTGTCAGGCGTGACTCCGAGGTCAGCCAGGACCTTGGCGATTCCTCGGGCATCCACACCGCAGTTAGGAGCTACATTGGACTCACACCGCCTGTGCACATTCATCTTACACACTACAGGACAACAGAAACACAGGAAATGGTGCAGTTTAACCCAGGAAATACTGGCCTTTTAATACAAATGTTGCCTTTTAGTTAAAGACATCAAACTCCACTGGCAAATGCAATCAAGAGCAAATTGGTGTTAATTAAAATACCATAGACTTATAAATCATACTGTACCTGTGTACCCATGGGTTTTAACTTTGGAAATATAAAGTTAAGTTAATATATCAAAGATTTAAATTATTTATGATAAGTTAACTTCAGCCAGTAAAACACTAGAATGGTGTTTTGGAAACAGCTGTGAGAGTGAAAACCTCACACGTTGCAGCATGTCTTACCTCTTTAGAGGCTGAATTTACTGTATATAGAATTGCATTTATTAATTGTCATTATCAATTCATCTTTTAAGATTTATTTTTCTTAATACATTTGTTGGGGTTAAAAAAATCTGAAAGCCAAGGTGGCCTCTTATAATCGCTTGCTTGGTCATAACAACAGTACACAACTCAAAATATAACATTAAACAGTATTATTATTGATTTTATTTTAAACATTTGAAAGGCAGCAGGTCCCTAGAATCATCAAATGTTTCAAATGTAACTTGACTGAACATTTAAATTGACTACTAAAAACATGTCTTAGTATAGAACAAATATTTATACAAGCAGACAGATATTCATAGGATGATACCTGATCATACATGATTTTGAGCAACACTTGTACAAAGCAGAGATTTGTTCTAAATGTAATACAAAATCCTGGATGTGCTCCAAAAACGAATTCCCTTGTTCTCTGGCCTATGAGCCAACATTTAACCATTGTTTTTCAACTCACTAGAAAACAAGCAGGATGAAACAATTATTGGCAGGGATACAAAGGCATGTGTTGGTATCTATTATTTACCTGTCGTGAAAATTGAACTTTTAATTTCTTAAGTTCTTTCATAAAAAAAGAAACATTCGTCTTTTTTATCCAGTCTTTGACTTCAGCACATTGACACTCAAATGCATGGCATGTGAGCCGATGGTGTAAATTCCCCACTGCACCTGAACTCACCTTTGCATTGCAGGCCCTGCCTCATGAGGCCCCACAGCAGGGAGCCACAGTGGTCACAGAAGGTGGGCACCTTGTAGTTGTGAATACTGAACTTATGGGGCATGTTAACACTGAACCGCTGTGAACCCACCTACAGAGGGAGACACACACACACACAGACACACGCAAACACACAGACGGTGTTACAAAGAGGTCATTGTCACATTATCGGAGGAATAATGCATGCGGCTGGAGTGTTAGTACACAGTGTACACATGTTAACTTAAGTGGAAGATTTATTCACAAAAGGCCTGAGTGCTTCTGTCCATATTCTGTTTTTCTGATTCACTTTGTGTGTGTTGGATATGTAATAAACTCTTTATTAACAAACAATTAACTTTCTGTGCTTAAGTCTTTTCATGTGTTACCAACATACTCTCTGTGTACTAGGATGTTTGCCTGTACCTCCTCAGGTGTGTCCTCCTGCTTCTTCATCCCGGCACACTTGGTGATGATGAGCTCATGGCAGCGCTTGTGGACGACACACGTGCACACTGGAAGCACAGCATCAGCATCGCACGTAAACACATTTTCTTAAATTAGGTCAAATAAAGTGTACGTGTCCACTACTTTGACCTGGTAGAATTTCGTTTTTAAGCTGATTTAATACCACCCAGACTTAACTGAACCACATTACATTTGATTAAAACAATTTAAATAATAGAATCTCATAACTTCTTAAACTGTTTCATTTCATTTTACAAAGCCTCAACAAAGTGTTGCTAACAGTAGGGATACACCGATTGTGAAATACTTTGCCGATACCAATGTTTAAAAAACTGTGGCCAAATGCCCATGCTGACAACCAAGTTTTTTGTTGTTTATTAGGTTTTCTATGTGTTATTTATTCATCCTTTGAAACAGGATATCAGTTATGAGAGGAATGTTATTTAAATGTAATTTCATAGCCCAACAAATATAATGTTTATGAAACTTAAATTTAAAAATGTTTTTACAAAGACAATTGACTTGCCAGTGTTGTGTGCAGCCAGTGGCTTGTTCTCTGAATCAGCAGCTGCAATAGCAGCATGCTAACTACTGTTGTTGGACCCTGATCGCAAATAATTTAAACAACATTTAGCCATCGCAAAGTTAGTGCAAACCAACAGAGGAACATTTGCCAGTGAATGTCATTCTCTATATGCCTGTAGGTCGATGGCAGTCAACAAGGCAAATATTGATAACTTTGTTCGGCATATACTGTAAATCTGTGCTTCTCTAGTATACACAGTTTAAACTGAAGAAAATGATATCAGATAAATATTATTTATTTTGGACAATCCAGTGAAACCCTGGATCACTTTCAATGAAAACATATTTAATTATCTCTACAATATCTAATCAGACAGTTACAATTAATTAATAATATATGATAATTCCTTGTGAACCTCGTCCGAGCAAAAGACTAAGTATCAAATATATGAGTTGATTCACACTCCCAGCTGAATTCTTAAGGATGTTTGCAGAAAATATGTATTAAAAAAGTGAATGCTCATTAGCATTTTAAAGTGGATGCTGTTGGAGAAATGCAGGCCATCTGTGGCTCTGGGCGGAGGTGGCTTGAGACCAAATCACAGCTGTCCTTCAGCAACATGTAATCCCACTTGTGTTCTCCTGCTTAAATAATAAATGATCGAAATTGGATTCCTGCAGAAAAGTACTCACCCTGACACTGGTATCCCTGCTTCCCCAGCACGCCCCTGTTGGATCACACACACAGGAGGTTGGTTTAAATGAAACTCAGCAGCAGGTACGCCAGATCAGGCTGATATGTGTTTGTGTTGCCTTACCAGATGAAATCTCTGCAATGTGAGCAGTAGGTTGGTTGCCTCAGGTATGTGGCCATGAACTTGTGTCCGTTGACTTGATGGACGCGTCTTCGGACGGCGCCCTGTCGCCGGCGAGGGCCAATCCTCTCTCGAAACACCCGCTCCTCATTCTCATTGGTCCCCGTGGCTGTGGAGTGAGTGCACATGTCAATGGGTATGAATCTAAATGTATCACTGATTATTGAATATTACTTTCAAAACATACAGTGCTTTAAGGTTACACAGTAAAGCTATTGCACTGGAAAAATAAGAAAATAAACATTACTCTGGTCATTTGAAGTGCTTTAGCTTTTCTTTAAGCTTTTGAGGAATATGAAAAGAGAATGATAAAGACACAGAGGAAGATGGTCATTTTAAAAGTCTCACACCAACATTTCTTTTAAATTTACAAACTTTTTTTTGTTACTTTTTACATTTTGTTTCACATATTCTTTGTTAAGGCCCATTGATTTTACTTACTGAGATGCTTTGTACAAATAAGGATCATTTTGCATCATGTTGCTTGAGATGTTTAATCATTCAACGGCCTCTCAAACCCCCCCCC